CAGTCCCACTGGCACCAGTAAACAGACGCTTCAAGCTGTCATTTCAGACGAGGCTGTTAAGGAAGACAACAGATGCTGATGTCAAGGGGTTACCCTGGGTGACCAGTGCGTGGTGATGCTCCCGCTCACACACGCTCTCTCCAAAGACGCCCCAGATGGGTTTCCTTCACACAGATAAATAAACACCAACAAAAAGTGGCCCAGCAATGCACAGGCAGGACAAACTCCTTCCAGGACGCTGCTCTGCGAGGGGGACATGGAATTGATTTAGCACAGTGCTTCCCAATCCAGTGCTTGGGGACTCACAGTCGGTCCATGTTCTTGCTCCCTCCCAGCTCCCTGTCAGACGGTCCACATTTTTGCTCCCTCTCAGTTCCCAGTAGGGAGCAAAAACACGGACTGGCTATGGGTCCCCGAGACTGGATTGGGAAACACTGGTTTAGCATAAACTGGGCAGAAACTTCATCAGAAAAATGTTTTGCATAAGGTGGAGGAGTGGCATGAAGGGGATAATCATCCGGATATGTCACCTAATGACAACAACACTAAAATAATAAAAACACTAATAGACAGAGAGACTCTGACTGCAATAATTAGCATTCTACCTTTGTCCTGTAACAAGCTTCTAAAAATACACATGCTGAACCAAGATCATTGTAGCTCTCTGGCTATGCCTGAAATTTCTGAGCCCTCGTTATATATATATGTGATGCCTTTATATTATATAAAGCGTGCAAAACAAAACTGTGGATTTCAGCTGAAATCCTGCTGCCTGGTCCGTGTTTGCAGAGTCTTCCCTCAGTCTGTTTGGGTTGCCACTGGCTTCCTCTCAGAGCCTGAAAACATGCGGTTATAGCTATCTGGCATGATAAATGACCCAGAGTGTGTCTGCCTTCCCATGGACTGGCAACCCATCCAGTATGTGTCGCCCTTCTTGGGATTGGCTCCAGAAACATCACCACCCCCTATGCAATAGGCGTAGCTAGTTATGGAAGGTGTAGGTTAATTAAACAATATTTATATAATTTACTCACTAAAGTAAAAAAATTCAAAATGAAGTATTATGTTTAAAAATGAGTTGAATAAAGTGCCTTGTTCTCTGCCTTGCGTCTGTAGCCTACATTACAGGCTCTGGAATCCCCATGACCCTGAACAGTACAAGTGCTTATAGAAAATGGATGGATGGATGGATGGATGAATGGATGGATAGATAGCACAAGTTGAATAAAAATTGTAAAAATACCAGTAAAGTTATGGGAATATTTAATGCAAGAGTATACAGTATTCAGTTTTTTATCATGTAATAAAATGCTTCCACATCTATACTGTACCACAGTAACTATATAATCCAGGTGTGAGTGAGAAGGGTTTCTGGAATAATCTTCACTTGCCTTTAATTTGATTTGTCACTTGAAGTTGGGCTAGAAAAAATATCAGTAGCGATTTATATGAAACGCTGCAAGTTCATGACACAGATTAATTTGTAAATTTCTTTGAGTTTCCTCGGCAAAAAAAAAAGATGGCAGTATGTCAGGCATAGAGCAGCAGGACGGTCAGGGAGGTGAGACATGTGGAGCGCAGGAAAATGTGATGTTTAGCAATTACTAAAAAAATAAGCGGCTGTCAGCTTGCCGCAGACGTCATTACACAGAACACAGAAGAGATGTGAAAATTCCTAATACCTTATACACCAGAAATGGCTGTAATACATATGCAGCAGAATCCAGAGTATTACCTCCAGAGTGTTCTACTGTGGGCACAGTCGTTACGACTCAAGACTGCACACTGCGTGCATGAGATGGTAAGGTGGCAGATCTTATTCAAAGTGACAGCCAGAACGGTGACATTGTCCACCAAGCTCACTCGTGTCTCGGTGCCACTTGCCACGGATTATAAATAAGAATATACTGCAGCCGTCGACATCAAGGGAAAATGAAACAGAATGGAAATTCCTGTAGGTACCTGAGGTCTACAGCCTAGCAGTTTATGGATGTTACAGGTATCTAAGTTGGTATCAACATCAAAGGGTCTCGGAGTTCCGTACCGTCCACCAAAAACGGTCCGGAACTTTCAACACCCGTCGTTCACCAGCAAATTACGTTAAGCACCCCTAAATCGAAAACTGCCAGTAGATATTCAAAGGGTGCCTGCCCCACATCACATACAGTGCTATTTAGTGGTTCTATTAATGCAAACATTTGATGTTATCTATTTTCACAGGAGTGTTTCGTGCCGATCGACAGCAGCACTGTAATTACAAGCTGTCAGGAAAATGACAGCGATTCCTAACAGTCCATCATAGCCCGTGACTCCTCACGGCTTCCAACAATCGATTAGCATAGTTTTTCAAATACATCTTTTTTTCTTTATTAACATTCATGTTTTCTCGTTTTAAACCCGGAAAGGTCAAAACCTTACAGGGTCACATCCCAGGGAGGACTTTTTACTTTCTACTAAAGGATGAAGGTCTTGTGTTTTCAATGGCCTTCGCGGGAATTGTAACCATTACAGACTGTGGCGGATATGATGGATTTGCCGGTGGCGGGAGTAAGAGGGTGCCATTTTGCAGTTTACAGGGTTCTCCTTGTCCACCTGGCCCTCAGGGAGCTCTGCCGGTTGATTGAATGTGGAGGGAGACCTCTAGGGTCAAGGTAAGTGGACATCGGAGGAAGAGATCTGTGACAATCCAGCTCAGTGACGCCAGATACTGCTCAGCAGCTGTAAGACAGAGGCAACCTGTCAGGCAATCTCAGGATAACTGATTCCTAATGCTGAATGGGCAAGAAGTATGATGAGCACAATTGGAGGGGGAAAAAATCTGGGTCTGGTGTCCTTGGTGAGAACAGCACCCAGAGGCATACTGCTGTTGCGCCCAGTGTGGTTATTTTACAACTGCGACTTATAAAACATAACGGAGAACGGGGAAAAAACAAGCCATCTGTCGTGAAAAAAAATCTGTTGTTATTTTTGAATCCCCACCCACTGCCCCATAATAAATATATTTTTAATATGCAGATTTCTCTCATATCTCCTAAAAACTTAACCAAGTGATGCATTTATTTAAGCTTGTAATGAACTGCGCTCAGTTCCGAAAAACACGCGTTGATCTTCGGGTTGCATTTGAAATAGACGGAACTGAGCGGCTGTGCGCGTCCGGCGAGCGCTTCCCCCCAGGTAGGTATCCTGCGGGTGGGTGTGCAAAGCTGGGCTGTACACGTTGTTTGGCACCCAGACCGGCAGGGGAACAATATGTATTCGTAACAAGAGTATGGGGAAAATGCACTGTAATAGGACATGAGCGTGTAACGGGCCTGATAACGCAAAATAAGCGAACATCTGGATCTCTGTGTCTTTTAATGAGAGGCGAGGCGATGCGTCAAGGGGCTGTATGGACGTCCTGCGTCGGGGGAGGATCTGTCATATTTTCCGAAGCATTGAATCCTCGCCCAAAGCGCCAATGCATCTTTAGATCATTGTAAAACAGAGAAATGCTCATTGTCAATGTTACATTTTCATCCATTTTGAAATAAAAATGTTTCCTTCTTATTACTACAGACGACGACATTGCAGTATTATTCCTTGCGCTACGGTACTTTAAACAAACGTATGCTGAATATTTCAAAGGTGTCTGCGTTATTTTATAGAAACTATTTGTAATAGGTGTTAACCTTGGCAACTTGTGGCGCAGGACTGAAGCACTCAGGGATGCAAGGTTAATGTGCGGTGGGTGGAGACGTGAAGCAGCTGTCTGCTTTTGCCAGCATCTCCATCCTTTATGGACGGTCATGTATTTCGCTTGGTTAAAGCTCAGCTAGAGAGAAAACGGCACTACAGGCCTGAAGTTAAAATAGGGGTGTTTGTGCCTGGTAGAAAGTGATTACGTGTGCACGTACTTTTTCAAAAGGAGAATGATTTTAGCTAGTTTTATAATCACATCATTCTCAATACATGTTCCTCAGACATCAGCTTGTCGCCATATCAAGCTGGTTTTTGTCATCAAGTTTTATGATCAAGTTGTCAAGGTTAAACTTCTTCACAAGCAGCGCGGTGTGGCTCCCAGACCCAATAGCTGCTTCTTTGTTAACGTCCAAAGCATTTCAGGGATAAAAAACGAATTCAACTACTGTACAGTATGTAGGAGAATAATAGGCTGATCACCTGTTTACTGCGGCTCCTGTTTTCGAAGCTTGTGTCCATTCGTAGTGGTAACTAGTGTTTACCAGTAATCGTGGTATAACTCAGATTTATAGGCTATTAATTAATTGTGCCAGATACTCAATAAACGACACAATGTAGGCTACATCCTGGTCTCTTCGTTAGAGTAATATTCTATCCTCTAATAGAAATATATTGACTGCAAGAGCTAGAAAGGTGGAATTCAAATGGAAGATTATCACCTATAAAATTGTGGTTATTTTTATAACACACGGAAAAATCAGCGCGAGATCAGCGAAGCGCGTAATTGTCTTTACTGCCTCACATCTGGAGATGTGAAGTAATCAACTCATTAGAAAAGCCTTAAACGTATGGCAGAAAATCTTATAAAATGTGGAACTGCTGGCGATAACTGCCGTGATGGGAATTCACATCGCTGCACGTTGACACATAATAAAATGTCAGGCTGTGTCACTTATGACAGGCAGGGCTGAAGGACAGGCGACTCCTGTCTTAAGACACCTCGGGAAGAAAAGTCACCGTGTCTCAGAGTATCCCCAACCAGATGCGTGTGGTGAAATGCACTGTGTCTATTCCTTTATTTGCAAAGTTAACAGGTGTTATAAATGCTCCAGAAATTATTAATTATGACAAGCGACCGTGAACCGATACGAGTGCTCAGTCTAAGTGCTGTTAAAGCCGGTGTGTGTGTGTGTGTGTGTGTGTGTGTGTGTGTGTGTGTGTGTGTGTGTGTGTGTGTGTGTGTGTGTCGCAGAGAGAAGGAGATGGGTAGGTAGAGAGTTAAAATAGAGAAGGATGGTGCGTCGTGAGGAGAGAGGGCGAGAGAGAGAGGGAGGGAGAGAGAGAGAGAGAGATCGGGGTCCGTAAAGCCTAGACAAAGATGCTGATACACACAGACACACACTGGGATGTGGGCTCAGAGCCGCTCTCTGTTATGAAGGGGAAGACTCCCAACTAAGTGTGCGGAAGATGTTTATTCTAAGCTTGGACGGTCGCGTCCCTTCCTTCGGGGTATCGATTGAACCCCGTCTTTGCAGTGCCAACTTAATTTATTTGATCTCATTAGGGAGCGTTTCCCTCAGCATTTTTTCATTTTGAGGCGGTTCTGTATGCTTTCTGCTTTCGTGTTGATGAACTCGCTCGACTTCCTGAGACGACCCCTCTAATGGACAATGAAAACCACTCGCAAATGCAGAGCGCTGCTGTCGGTGAGTTTGAACCTGGTGGCTCTGCTCTTCTCCACAACAGCGTTTATCACGACTTACTGGTGTGAGGGCACCCAGAGGGTACCCAAGCCCAACTGCAGCAAGGAGCGGCGACACAACTGCATCGATTACGGGGGAAACCAGACGGACCAGAGCAAAGTTCATTACAGCTGGGAGACCGGAGATGACCGTTTCCTCTTCAGGCATTTCCACACGGGGATCTGGTACTCGTGCGAGGAAAACATGAATGGGGGAGGTAAGAGTAGTTTACATACTTCGTAACCAGGAGCAAAACATGGTGTATCGCTTTCTGGAGTCTTATTAATATCTAAAGGACATGCAGTAGGGCGACAGGCGTGTCGTTTACCGTAAGATCCTTCAAAGGTGATCTGAGCCTTCGGAGAATTAAATTATTACAGAAATGTGATGTTTGGGGAAACTGAGCCTTTCCTACCCGAATTAAGTTAATTAACTAATATATTGGTCCGGTGCATCTATGTCGTATATAGGCTACATGACAGGTTTCATAGACTTGAATCATGTGGGATTATTTGGTTTCGATGTACTCCGGGTTCGGGGTAAACCAGCTGACTACAAGAAGGTAATTTGAATAGTGTTCGGCCATTCAGTAATCTGAATTGATTTTAACTAATCTATGTTAGTAATAACTAATGTTTTAATTAACGCGTTTTGGGGGTATTACGACACTAAACTGAGAATGCGCACTTTCATTGACAATATCAGATGTTTCTACCAATTAAGACTTCGTGGAGCTTTCGACTTAATTAACAGCAATTGATTCAAGATCGGCTCGTATAAATTAACTGAAATATTAATAGGCCTAGTCTATGTAATATTTCTAGTAAGTGGTTCGTCCCTTCGAGTTAAAAATGAAAGATAGGCCTGTAATAGTGCATATATTTTGTAGTCATCGCTAATAAGAATGTCAAGTAAATGTTCTGAGTAGCGATCGGTTTCGTAATTTAAGTTGCGTAGGCCTGCAAAAAAACACGCTACTTTGCGCTGGTAGGCCTACAATAAGTACTTAATTGCTTTTAATTACATCGCAACATTAGTTTTTCTTGATACTTCTCGAAGTCAATCAGCTGACAGTTTCAACTTTAATGTTAAAAACGTCCATCCTTCCATACATCCATCATCTAACCGCGCTTATAACATTAAAATTGGAAACACTGATAATAAGAAATGCTTGTTGGCGGGGTGCGATTTGATGAGCTAAACAAAATTACATGTTATTTTATATTCTACTTTTTAATATTTTACTTAAACGTTTAGCCTATTTTTTATGAACCTGCATTTTGGTACCACCAACCGGAGGGCCGTTCCAAAAGCCTTGTTGGTTTTTGGCATTAATTGTGTGTGTGGTTCTGTTTTTAGTTACTGGAGATGGGATAACCCTCAGCAGGAGCGATTATCCATTCCTATCGATCAGCCACTGATTTAACACATTTCCGTTTGCTTCCTTTATTGGCTCCCATTGGCCTAAAGCTGACAGTGATTGACAGCTCACGGTGATCCCGCCCACCTGAAGCTCCAAAGTCTCGTACGTAGTTTGTACGCCAGTGTACCTGAGATTTGGGAAGGAGCAAAGAAGTGGACCGTCAGGGGGGTCCTCGAGGACTGGTTTGAGAAATACTGCTGTACACTGTAACATCACTGACTTCTGAAGTACAATATTGATTTTTTTTGTAATCTGCTTTATGCTTTTTTATGTGGCCGGGCATGTAGCGGAATTTAACCTTCCCTGTTAATTGTTCGCACATATTTGATAAGTAGCAGGTGGTCCTTAGAAAATCAGCTCGTCTCTTAATTAAACAGTACGGCCTAACTAATTCTCAAGTATTATTTACCAGGTTTTTTTTTGTGTCGCAAGTAGTCTTCAGTGTTATTTAAAACCCACCGTCTGTCGGTGTTCTGTCGATTTATGCTGCCTTGTCGAAAAATGCTACCGTAGTGCTAATCGATAGCCCTAACCCTTACACTAACCCCCCAAAACCACCTAAAACCCTTACCTTAACCCTAACCCTAACCCCTAAAACCTAACCCTAATCCCAAAACGGTGGAACTGCACATGCGCAGAAAGGCTCGATAGCACGTCTCGATAGGTAGGATTTTATGACAGAAAATCGGCATTTGTCTTTAGCAACTCACCAGTATGTAATACAATGTTTGTCTCCGGCTCAATTCTTATATGTAATTGTGTTATTCATAAGCACGCAAGAATTATGGAAATGTGACGCCTTCAGCTCTAAGTTTCTTTTGCATCCCTCGTGTTATGCATGCACAGCTCTGGTGAAGTCAGAAATTGTTTTGCAATGGTTTTAGCGCTGCAGTGAATACTGTACAGTGCAAGTAGCCTACCTTGTGTTTCAGAGTCACGTCAAGGTTCATATACCGTCATGTTTTTTTTTTTAGCTCAGTCCCTTGCAGTTTCAGATAAATTAATATTGTGTTTAATAAGTTCCACCACACACCGCACTCGAGAGTAGAAAATACCGCCTGAAGGAAACCGGCTATGCAATTGAAAGTGGCTCAGATAGTGGGATTTAAAGTGTCCCAGTCACTTTGAAGCCTCATGCGTCATTTTGGAGTGAAGAAGCAGAAATTAAATCTGTGGAATGACAGGGACAGTATCAGAACTGCAATGCAGTCAAAAGGGTCATTTGTTATAATGCACTATTCAATGGAAGTTGGGGAAAAACTCACTTTGGGGGATGTTAACATTTCAAAAGAAACATTAATCAACAATGTTCATGTGAAATCATCTGTTATAACAGTAATCTGTTATACAGATTTGAAATGTTGATGTTTGTGTTAGTTGTAGGTTAAATGTAACACAAATAATATCCTGAAAACTACTATGACTCATATCTTACGTGTCTCTTTCTCTGGTTTTCAACTTTCCCATTAAAACTCCTGAAGGGTATTAGTTCAAAACCACAGGGGCTGATCACTTCCAGCTAAAAATAACAGACCTAATGCCCTACCCTCAGCTCCACTCCTGTCTCGTCTGTAGTTTTTACGCGGCTGAATTTATGTATCAAGCAGCAAGCCTTTCAGCGAGCGATCTCTTGTCTGTCTGCCTTTATCGTCACGGGCATCTCACGAACATAACTTTACATTTTTGGGTACGTAAAATCACAACATTACCTGTATGAATCCAGATAGCTGGCTGTGCCTTAGATTACAATACCTGTAAAGTCAGGCTTGAGGAAGCATTACCAAGATGTGTTTGGGGATGAGATTTATACAACTAAGATTCAAATGTCACATCACCCATGCATTCAAGTGATAAACAAGCATCATTTAACGCAAAATGTCTGTTTAACATAGAGTCTTGCTGGTTATGTGCAAATCGGAGCTCCACAGCATATCCCAGCGATGAATTAAATTATTCAAGGAAAAGTCTGAGCAGGAGATAACACCCAAATCACCACCGTGCACGCTCTCAGAAACAAGAACACCAATTTGTACCTTTGCTGTACCCTTTTAAGGTACAGAAACGGACTCCGAGGAACATTTGTGTACCATTGGGCGTACATTAATGCTGTTTGTACTTTCTTGGTTTTTGGATGTTCCTCAAAGTCCATTTCTGTACCTTAAAATACACTGAAAGGTACAGGTACCTACAGCTAAGGGTACAGCCCCAGTAACAAGAAAAGGTACTCTTTTTTTTTTTTCTTGACAGTGCTGTATCCTGCAAAGTCCAGATTGTAAACACATCTATAGTGTGTCTTGTACATATTGTATATAGTTTTGGCGCAGTGCTGGTATACAGGAGTCGGGTGAAAGGCAGAGCAGTGGCCCGTACTTCGAAGCGGGGTTACTGGCTTATCGGGGTAACTTGCCGGATTTAAGGTACCACAGTTTAAATGGACTTCAAATTAGTTCACTCACACTTTGCCCAGGCTACCTTAAATCCGAGAAGTTACCCCGATAAGCCAGTAACCCCGCTTCGTAGTACGGGCCCCTGGTCACACCGTGATGCAAAGACCTTCAGAGAATGTGCAGGACGAGCAGAGGCTACAGATTAGGCTCATAAAGCCGCAGGGCTCTGCTTTATCGCTGTAAGATTCCAACATGAGAGCATTTCCACTGAGCTGTTAGCGCCCTCAGAGCAGCATCATATTTTTGCCATTTTATTAGACGCTTTTATTAAAACATTTTCTGACACTGTTGCAAATCACTGCTTGAACATGAAGGAGTTTTAAGAGAGAGAGACTGTCAAGAAACACAGGTGATTTTGTATTGAATTCACTTGCTGCAATATGTTGAGTGCAGATTGTCTAGTTTACGTGTTGCACTTAGCTAATTATCTTTTAAGGCCAGTATTACAAAGCTGGATTTCTTGCTTAGCCAGATAACTTGCCGGATTTAAGGTAGTCAGGGCTAAATGTAAGTGAAGGTGTATACAGTACAGTACCTTTAAACTGGGGTACCTTAAATCCAACAAGTTATCCGGCTAAGCAAGAAATCTGGCTTAATGGTTTGGGCATAGAGTACCGTGTATGTTGTATTTACCATTGTTTGCACTGTTTTTATGTTGAGCAGAACCAAATGCACCAAAACAAATTTCCTGTGCATAGTAATGCTCCTAGAGTAAAATCCTCTCTGAACTGAAAGGGGTTTTGTTTCATCTGGTTTATTTTTAACCTCCATTGAACAGTTTGGCTAAGCTAGCCTCCCGATCTGCAATGTTCGTGAACATAGTGAGAACGCAGTGAACACAGTGAAGTGCAAAGGGGGAAGGAAGTGCAGTCCATTTAATGTGCAATAACAGCTATATGGATGTGCAAATAAGCAGGAGCAGTGGTGTAACTGTGTACTGTCTTACTGCATCCAGCCGGAGAAGAGGTGTAATTGTGTACTGTCTTACTGCATCCAGCCGGAGAAGAGGTGTAACTGTNGTACTGTCTTACTGCATCCAGCCGGAGAAGAGGTGTAATTGTGTACTGTCTTACTGCATCCAGCCGGAGAAGAGGTGTAACTGTGTACTGTCTTATGTATCCATCTGCAAACTCCTTGTTAGCACGTGTGTGTTGCCATCTGCAGTAGTTTACTGTAGGGAGGGCTATATGTAGCACAAGGCTGTAAAACAAATATGAGTGAAGACAAACCAGGCAGCCGAGCTCTCGATTTTGATTTTATCGTGTTGTGCTTCCTTCCTTGTGTGATTTAAAGAAGCTATGGCTTATTTTTTTCACACTAGAATCTAACTTAATAACTTCATAATTTTTATTTCATAGTCATGGTGCTTTTCTCCATTTCCCATTTAATGCATGTATTCATGAAGAATCACTACTGCATCTGTGATTTAATTGCTGCTGCTTAACTAAGTCTAGAACTGAATGGACATTTAATTTAAAAATTCATTGCTTCCAGTTTTATTAGAACAGGAAGAGTGTTCCGGAAAGGGCAAGCCCGTTTGCCTTCACATCCGCATGAGTAAGAAATGTTGAATTTAAGGATGGGTCACTAGCAATTAGATATCCCTGTGCCACATTAATGCCAGATTAATCAGTTTCGCAGTACTTTGTTTTCTCTTGTAAAAGGACATTCTTCATCTGTGAGTCGGCAAATGAAAAGTCTGAATGAAAAAAAGGTTGCCATAGAAAGAGGAGGTCAGAAGGAGTCATTGTCTTTAGTCTTAGATAAATAAAGTTTGGGGAAGAAAGGGGACACAGACCGTATGTGGTAGGCAAAGTACGGAGGGAGATGGGTGTGATCACAGCCGAAATACAGATTCAGCAAAGTCCTCAAGGGAGAGTAGCTAGAGTTCAGGGGAGACATAGTACCTCAGGAAGCTTCCTACGGACAAAGGGTATACAGGGAACGTCAGGAAACTTCCTACGGACATAGGATATACAGGGAACGTCAGGAAGCTTCCTACGGACATAGGATATACAGGGAACGTCAGGAAGCTTCCTACGGACATAGGATATACAGGGAACGTCAGGAAACTTCCTATGGACATAGGATATACAGGGAACATCAGGAATCTTCCTATGGACACAGGATATACAGGGAATGTATACAGATGCATGTGGAATGTGAAGGATGCTCTTCTAATAAGGAGAGAGTAGGAATCAGAGTTTTGCAGCTGCCTTCCCACTAAATGCTAAGAAAGAGCGTAAAAAGGCAGAAACATTGAAGTTTTTATGTGATTGATAGTTGTAGCAGCATAGATATTATTTGTTCATTATGAACCAGTTTTATATCCCAATGCTGAATTCTCAGATATTTCATTTTTCTATGTTTAAGGTATAAATACTGAATAAATCACAATTTTTAAATCAGCTTTGGCCCCAAGTTGGTGACTTTGCTCCTTGTCTTATGATTCTCTTTCATTCTCACATTCAAAGCTAAGACGTTCCATCCAGAGCTTTTCCTAATTACATTTTATCGCTACGGATTATCTTCACATTGGTTCAGGCAGGAGCTGATCACTACTGTGTCCCTGTTTCACGGGATGGGATCGCCCTCTTTCTCCAAAACTCGGACAATGAAGGCGCCTTTACACAAGACTAGCATCGAGGTGTCAACCACATTGGGTTACTTATTGCCATTCAAAGGCAAAGCCAGTAATCTGAGCTGAGATGGAAACATATTGATGTAAATGAAGGAAGTCAAATTGAAATAAAGCGACGTGACGCATGTGAATGAGCCACACCATGGTCTGTTTACATTCCCTTCCTGCTAAGCGCCTTCTGTACACCCAGATCAGGCTCTTGGAAAACATCCAGCATCGTTCCTCGTGCCTTTACAGTATCTCACAGAGGATGACACCAGAGTCACCGGTGTCAAATATCGCCTTGCTGATAACTCTGCTATCATCTGTGTGGTTCATTCTTTGTAAGCAGCATGGGTAGAAAGTTTTTACAGTCTAGCTGAGATCGCAAGAAGTTTCTGCTGAGATGTATTGTCTTGTAAAGGTTTGCGTTTGTGGCCAAGCCAGCTCTTATAAATCGAGTTCTCCTCTCCTGAATTTTGTCTGTTTTCCACGGTGGTGACACGTTAATGCAAGCGTCGGACTGCCCTTGGTGGCTCTTGAGTCTTGAATCTGAACCCTTACGGTTGACATCAAGAATCTCATTTGTCAAAGTTCGCCAAAGCTGTATTCGCCTATTCCTTGTGTTGTTTCACAGAAATGCTCTCATTTACTCTCTCAGCACTCCTGGATAAAGTGCCTCCTAAATTTTTTATGTTAATTTTTTTATGCGCAAAACATGCTAAATTTAACGGGTGGGGCAATTGTGACCTTGAACCCGATGATGGACAGGATTCCCATATACTGTGACTCACAGGCTAGTATTCCCACCTCTTCTTGGTTACCCCAGAGCAGTTAGGGGTTAACAGCTCTCATTAACCTGGCTACTCTCCCTCCATATCTCTGAAGGTGTAAAATTACATGTAGAGTTGGGTCTTGAGAGCGGAGTGGTGTGCGATTGAGTGAGTTAGAATGCTGTGCCTGTGATTGGAAAGTCCTAGGTTCCAATCTCGTGGTCACAAGACAGGTTTCACCGGTAGCCCCTGAAAAAGGCCCTTAACCTCGAATAAAAACATGTGCTGCATAGTTAAATGTACTGTAAGAATGTACAGAGGATTTCCTGCTTTGAATCCGGCCGCAGTGTTGCGGATCTCCTTCAGGAGTTTGCAGTTCGCCCCGCTTCTCTGCCCGTTTACCTTCATGCTGTGCTTGCCTTGTGTCTTCTCAGGTGAGAAATGCAGGAGCTTCATCGATCTGGCCCCAGCGTCGGAGAGGGGTGAGTGATGGCCGTCATTAAGCCCCTCAGCGTGTCTGGCATCGGGTCCCGGGACCCATCCGATGACATATCTGTCACCCTTGTCTGTGTGGGGGGGCAGAACCTGAGTTGAGCTCAGTCGATTTTTAAATTTTTTTGGGTGCTATGGATGTTTTGTCTTTCGATGACCTGGAAAAGCTGAATTAATGCTGAGTTGAGTGCAGGAATCCATAGGGGTCCTATTTACATGACTCGCTGTGTTTTCAATCCATCAAAAGTGGACAATCTCAGAACCGGAGCCAGTGTAGTTGTAGCATTTAAAAACTATGTTTAATGATCGCATTAAATGAAAGTCGAAGTAGAATATACAATCATCTACTACTGCTACTGAACATGTTGAGGAGCTATGGGTAATCATTCCTCCCTGGTACAATATACAGAAAGTCCTCCATAAACATTCATTGGCACTGTAAATCACCCCGGCATGGCGGTCCGCACCTTCATTTAAGGGGCACCTTGCATGTGAGAGTTCACCTCTTTTGTGAACTTCTACAGTCATCTACTGGCACACTTTTTGGAGGGAGCTTTCCCCCCCCCCCCAGAGCCCCTGTTCAGCCAGGAGTCAGGAGGGAGGTGTGACAGAGAGCATCACTGCTGAGAAGGTGCCTAGCGGCCACTGGAGCATGTGTAGATGGCCGTGCAGGAGTCGAGTCACGTTCTTACACTCACATTTAGATCTGCTGATTTGGCAGCTGTCAAGGAGCCAGCTTAGGTACTGCTAAGTGCTGCTAGGCCGAGCTTCCAAAGGGCGGCCAGGTAATAAGTGCAAGATAATGAGGATGATGACAACGACAACAACAATCATCATCATCACCATAAGAGCGCACCTATATGAAGACGTGAAACACCAACATTCCTGTTCCGGAATGTTCCGGAACCCTCTGTCCATCATCCTCCCTGCCACTGCTCTGAACACGAGCGTACCTCCTCCCACTCTTACATTCCCCGCACGCAGCTGGCCGTCTCATTCCACGAGAGATGCATTAGGACCGCCGGGAAACTCGTGGGACTCGCTCATTTGAATGAGGGTGATATTTCAATAAAGTAGCTAGACTTAATAGCCATTAGGCATCTTTCTCTGACTCCGTATTGAACTGATGCATTAGTCCAAGAGAGTCCATCTGTGCCAGACCTCCATGTACCAATGTTGACCTGTCAGACTAACCTTGCTTTTTAAGTGCTGCTTAAATAGTAGCCAATAATTAGTTCTGAACAGATTAAGCAAGATGATACTGTAAAAGACCCACATGGTCTCTGTTGGCCTCCATCTTTCTTGGTTAATATTAATTATCAGATATGCATGAAGACGCTGTAATGGAACAAGCTCAGTGCTACCAGATCTGCCTTTTTTCACTATGGGATGTAGAAGCTTCATTCCCTTCATCAAAGTAATTTGGCCATAGGAATGTAGTGCGTAGAATACGCAGGATGTTGGGGTGTCTGGTGTAAGGGGCTGCAAGGGGGGGGGGGGCAGGAGAGCGTCAGTGTGGAGAGACGGACCTGGCACAGTCTGTCTGTGACGGGAAACGGATGGCGGTCCTGCCGGACCCCGTCACTCTCAGTTTATTTTAATTCCTTTTCTGTTGATGATAATCGATTCTGGTGGAAATGTTCCAAAATCCACCTGACGTGAGATGGGTCCATACCGAGCTGGAGCTCTGAATCAGCACTTTGTGCTTCTTCCTGTGCCCGTCTTGGCGATACGGAGACTGTTAAACAGGAGCCCTTCGCTGGCCTGTGTCCACTGGCAGCCGGGCCCCCGGCTGATCTGTGTATTACTGAAAATGGGAGTTTTATTCGTCCAGTTTTGGGGACACCTGTCAACAAATGTCTCCAGCGAGGCACTTCTTGACAATTTAATATGAACATTTTTACACACGTTTTGATGCGTAATGTTGGCGTTTATCTCAGCCTGTCAGGTCTCCTGCCTGAGGTGATGGTGGATTTAAAGCGTTGCTGAATATTAAACACATACCTCAGAACCAGAGCAAATTAATGTGCAGTGTTTTTACGATCATCTGTTTAATAAACGAATGAAACATTAATGGCTGGAAATTAAATTATTGAGATGGTAAAACTGGTTAATTGGACATATAGTTAAAGGGTTTAATGCTTATTACCTGTGATAATTTAAAGTCAGCTTTGAAATCCAAGTTCTAAAACCGGTGCTGTCACAAGCGAAGGTCTGGCCTGATTTAGTGTTTCATCAAAGGTTGTTCTGGAGAAATAGACATGGTGTTATTCTGAAGAGAGAGACCCAGCCTCACCGTGAATCACACTGACAACGAAACTGCCAATATTTACCAAATTAAGTTAAGAATTACAGCAGGAGGGGTGTGATTTATATGACCGGACCCTGATTTCTGGCTGTGCTGTCTTGGGTGGGGGCCAAAGGGGAATCAAGGTGCAAAAATAAGTGCAGAAGTTCAGTCAGATTTATTAGGATGGGAAATGTTCAGTGCTGAAGAGGAGGGGTTTACTAAGCACTGCACCTTTACATTTACTACTCACGCAGTATACACATACGCGCACACATGCGGTGTACACACATATGCACACAGACACACACACATGCAGTGTACACACACACACATGCAGTGTATACACAGAAATACACTGTACACTGTCATGAGCAGTATACGACGCACATGCGGTGTGCACACATACGTACACAGACACGCACACATGCAGTGTACACACACAGTGTACACAAACACACAATATACACACATACACACAAGCAATGTAATGTACGTGCACACAACATAGTGTACAGACAGCCGCACACACACGTAGTGTACACGCACACAGACACACACATGTAGTGTACACACAAACACAGACACATGCACACAAATATATACAACCACACACACACGTGCAGTATACACACACAAGCACATGCAATACACCAACAGACATGCAGTGTACACACTCACAGACATACACACATGCAGTGTACACACTCACAGACATACACACATGCAGTGTACACACTCACAGACACACACACATGCAGTGTACACACTCACAGACATACACACATGCAGTGTACACACTCACAGACACACACACATGCAGTGTACACACTCACAGACATACACACATGCAGTGTACACACTCACAGACACACACACATGCAGTGTACACACTCACAGACATACACACATGCAGTGTACACACTTACAGACACACACAAAGTTGCCTGATGAAAGGGAAGTTTCCATAATAATGTTTTTTGTATTACTACATATTTTTCTTTTGTGTTCATTTTTACACCCTATTTAGAGCTAAGTGATTGTTGTAAAGAATTTACACAAGTTGTGTTTAATACTATTTGTTATTTAGCTATCCATCCGTCTTCCAACCTGCTTGTCCTACTGGGTCACGGGGAGTCAGGAGCCTATCCAGGAAGCAATGGGCACGAGGCAGGGAACAACCCTGGATGGGGGGCCAGCCCATTGCAGGGCACACTCACACCTATGGGCAATTTAGGAATTCCAATTGGCCTCATCATGTCTTTGGACTGTGGGGGGAAACCGGAGTGCCTGCAGGAAACCCCATGACGACACGGGGAGAACATGCAAAACTCCACACACATGTAACCCAAGCGGAGACTCGAACCCAGGTCCCAGAGGTGTGAGGCAACAGTGCTAACCACTGCAGCACCATGTCATTTAATTGTCATTTAATGAAATTTAATTCTGATATTATGTTATGGTTTTTTGTCCTCATTAATTTAAAAAAAACGATCCATCCATCCTTCCTTTCTAGGGTTGTGGGGGCTGTGAACCATGACAGCATGAAAAAGGGTTACACCCTGGACAGGACGCCAGTCCATCACGGGGCACACACACACTGACACCCAGCCAACACTCAGAGATTTCGGCCATAAATACAGGAAATTACACACAGCCTTTCAGTGCCACCGGATTGGGCTCAGTGGCCAGGATTTAAAGGAGTAGCAGTCAGCTTCGCCGGATGGACCCGGGCTGCCGCTGTCAGTGCTCCTGATTGGCCCAGCAGTTATAAATGACAAGTAGCTGTCCGTGTTTCTGACGGGCCGAGACGGTATGAAAGAGAAGCAGCTGTCAGCCAGCCGGCATGGCGTAAATCTGCCGGCGCTGTCCGCGGTGCTGGCGGGTGTGAGTGAGATGAAGCAGCCCGTGGACCTTACCGAGCAGACGGGGGTTAGAGGAAGGCCAGGGCAGCTTCTGCTCGGCGCACGACTAAATCTTGTGCTGCTGAGATGCCCCGTGTGGTAGATAATTTGCCTCCTGGCCGGCGCAGCTGTGGTGTAGACCGACGTAATGTGCAGCATCAATTTCCGATCCCGCCGTCCCTCTGTGTGTCACCTTTCGTGATTGAGTGGCTCCTTAGCCTGATACGTACTGTCAGACCACGTCTACGATCCAGGGCCCTGTTGTTTTTGCCCTCATGTCAGATGTTGTGAGATGTTCCACTATGGTGTCGCGCTTCAGCAAGGACGCACTCTCCCCGCCGCAGGTGTCCTCTGGCTGTCCGTGGTGTCCGAGGTGCTCTACATCATGCTCCTCATTGTCGGATTCAGCCTCATGTGCTTGGAGCTCTTCCACTCGAGCAGCGTGATCGATGGACTCAAGCTGAACGCCTTTGCTGCCGTCTTCACCGTGCTCTCCGGTAGGTGCTCCCACCTCCACCCACACATGCTCACACATCCATCTGTGTCCACGCAGCCACCCCTTTGCTCCTGCAGGTCGCATGATTAATTTGTTGGCGTAAAACGACCCCGAGCACATGGAAGCGGATCCACGTTGTGTCCTCGCAAATCAGGATTCCTGATGGTGCCACCAGATACTTAAGGATCCAAATCAGTCCAGTTTCAATCTGAATCAGAATCCAAATCAGAATCCAAATCTGAATAAGAATCCTTTTATTTTTCAATAGAAAAAGTACAAGGAATTGGTGCAGGTTGTGGCATTAACATACAATTGAGACAAAAGATACAAATAACAATAAAAAGAATAAAAACAGATAGGAATAAAGATAGGAATAAAGATAGGAATAAAGAAGATTCAGTGCAGGGCCTCCGTTATAATCACATAAATCACATATGATAAGCCCCAGCATGTTAAATAAAGAGGAATGTCTTAGGAGAGGTTAGCTGAGCTGAATCTGTTTAGCCTCGAGCAAAGGAGACTAAGGGGGGGACATGATCCAGGTATATAAGATTCTAACAGGTCTGGATGCTGTTCAGCCAAATGGCTATTTCAATATTAGTTTAAATACTAGAACTAGTGGCCATAAGTGGAAATTAGTGGAAGAACATTTTTAAATGATTTTGAGGAAGCACTTCTTTACACAGCGTGTAGTTAAAGTATGGAATAGTCTCCTTCTTAGTGTAGTGCAAGCTAAAACCATGGGTTCCTTTAAATCAGAGCTAGATAAGATTTTAACAACTCTGAGCTACAGTATTAGTTAAGTTCTCCCCAAACGAGCTTGATGGGCCAAATGGCCTCCTCTCGTTTGTAAATTTCTTATGTTCTAATGCTGTTATGTTCTTATATGCAAGAAATAATACATAACAGGTAGACATATAAGTGAAGGTGAGACAGCTAGACGTCGGGTACAAGCAGCCTGCGTATGTGCATGTGCTGAGAACAGGCCAGTGATGAGCAAAGTCGAAAATGCCAACCATCCGGTAAGTTGGCAAGTGCTACAGAAGGTTTCCAGCTCTCTAGGGGCGAAAATAGCCGGGGAGGAAGTGAACGAACACAAAATGCAGGTTATTCAGTGCAGGGCCTCCGTTATAATCACATAAATCACATATGATAAACCCCGACCTGCTAAAGCTCACCTGTAGTGTGTGCCTCACTGCTCTTAAAATGATCACGCTGGACCTACTGCTCTTACTAACCAAAAATTTGACCATTTGTAAGATGCAGCTGTTTGCACACCAGGACAGCTGCTGCATTTCAGCGGCAATTATGTGCTTTTCCTACCAGCGTATGGTGCCCCTCTTCCAACAATTAATGTCATTTAATTCCAGGGCTGTGCTGGCATTCCAGTGAAAAGATCACCCCCCCACACACACACACACACACACACCGTTTGCACTACACACGCGCAGTGGTCAAAGGGAGGGAGCCAAAACTGGAGCAGTGACAGTATCTGTGGGGTAAATTAACATCAGTTTCCCTCTATATTGGCACCAATTTTGGCGTTTCAGGCACGTGTCTGACATTCATCGGGAATTTGTTCCATTCATTAGCAGTGATAATACGCGTCCAATTCACACCATCATGGATTCCAAAAGCTAATTTCAAAGGCTAATACAAGTACATGATATCCGGTCCAGTTATATGGAGGGATATTACAGGAAAAGTCTAGGAAATTGAAAAGTACAAAGAGTCACTTAGGAAAGGCCCTGTGTCTCGAAATGACATCGGATAAAATGTAGCAGAGCTCTCAGTCTGCCACAGAGAGATGTTCCTCATGCTAATGAGTGTGGGAGGCAGTGAAGTAGCTAATGGCGTGGGCTCATAACCTGGAGGTTGTGGGTTCGTGTTCCAGCAGGAACTTTGATGTTGTCTGTTTGAAAAATGGCACCAGCAGTGCTTCACTGGAGCTGCTACCTGCAGGAACTCTGAGTTTCTGTGGGTAAAAATATACTGTGAGAGAGTCGACTGTGTCTTCGGAAGGGTATGGTTTTTTTTTTTCCTTTCCTAAACTGACAGTGTGTCTTGGGAAAGCCAGGGCTAATGAACAGAGTTATTGCAGCAGGGTATGGAGCCTCCAACCCCTGCTTCTCTGCCTCCTTTGTGAGTTTTGCTTTTCAAGGCACATAAGAAGCGCTTGTGGCTGTTCTGTGCCAGTCTACGCGCCAGTGCATTTACGTCACGAGCGTGCAGTTATTGGTCACCTGTGGGTAGTACGGGATTTACGGTTCGCACACACGCACACGAGCACGCGCACACGCAAGCATGGGGGTGCCATTTGCCAGGGTCATGGTGACTTTGTGAGTGCAGATCAGCTTAATTTAATAACAGCTAACTGTGGGAAAACTGTATACATATGACATTAAACATTAAAATATGATAACAGACATAGAGCTAAGAGACTGGCTCTCTTTATTCAGCAGGCTGCTGTCCTGTGTTTACAGGTCGGCCCCCTCACCTCACACTGGCTGATTGCCCCCCAGCCCCAGATTAACTTGGCCTCCTTTCGACTTCACACTGGCTGATTGCCCCTCTCCACGAAATTAGCCCGGCTACCCTCAGACTTGCGCAGTAATTCAGACCAATGGAGCTTCCCTAGAAAACAGATTTGCCGTATGTGCAGCCTCAGAATTCAGCGCTCGACAGGTGGTCAACTTCTCAGAGGTGACCCACCTCGCACCAGTAGCTGTTAAGCATGATGTAAGAAACCTAGACTCAAGACTTTGTAAGATGATGATGATGATGATGATGTAACCCAAGCCCAAAATTAAAAAGTCAAGGTCACAGAGACCCAGGGCATGCCCGTTAAATCAAATCAGCCTTAAAGTATTTTTTAAATTAGTAAAAGCTTTTCATGATGATAAGACAAAGTGACTCCATGCAGATGGGTAATGGCATGAATTGGCCGGTTTGATCCGGTTTGATCCGGTTTGTTCAGGTAGCTGACCGCATGCACAGGGAATCAGAATAAGAGCAATGTGGCACACGCAGCCAGTACGGGTGTTTCTCAATATGCATACGTGACCATGCTTGTGTTCCGGTGTAAACGTTCTACATCGTAGTCCATTGCCAAACACCATTTCCAATACTCAAAACACAAGTACACAACGACAGTAAATATCCTCAGATGTTGGTCTTGCCGCAGATATCAAGGATACATTGGCTGCATCCTCGCCGAACGAGACCGATCCCATGATTCATTGCGGCCCAAGTTCATTTTAGCAAGGCAAGTTAGCAAGACCAGTCTCGTAAGGAGCAGAGGTACGGCCTTTACGTTTTTGGTACTGAGAAACACCTTGCGTTTCGCTCTCACCACGGCGACGACGCTCGCGCACTCCAGCGTGCCGTCTGCTGCGCCGCCGAGCCGGTCAGGTGGCCGGTGCAGGCTGTCACGTCGGCCGGCCGGCTCTGCTATGCTGCTCCGCCTCGACTCTGGGCGGCCGGAGGTGCAGCAGGAGGCGAGCCGGGAGGCGAGGCGGGAGGCGAGGCGGGAGCGTGCCCAAACAACCCGGATAATAAAAAGACCTTTTTATACAGCAGTGAGTGAAGATTTCCCCTCAGGACGGGATGTATTGTCTGAAATTAATTCCCCTAAAGATAAAGACACAGCAACATGTTTCCGGCATTTCTCCGCCTCATAGTCATGGCCCCAGCATTCGTGACACCCCGAGACCGAAAGATAGTCCCTCAGATCCATGCAGGGCAGATTTACAGTTATGGGGTCTTAGAGTTAGTGCTGAATTATTACTGTTATATGAGATGTATTATGCGGGTCCGAGGGTGTTATGCGTCTGATGTACGATGCAATTATAACATACGAAGACGAGGTTCTTCTGGAGCCTCTTCTGGCATTAAAGCAGAACATGGCCGTGTCGAGCCTTTTTATTTTAACGAGCAAAATAAATCAACAGTATTAAGTTACAGAACTAAATTAAATTTGCAATATGTGGAACAAAGTACACTGCACGGTAATTGGCCATATACACAACAGGCTGGACTTAAACACGAGAGGAGCCTCGGTGTCTGTGCTATGGGAACATTACCGTGGTACTTTTTGGGGTAATGGCGCTATTTCCGGCCAAAATGCCTGGAGGCTGTTTGTGGCATGCAGCTGGAAGAACCCTCTCCCTCACATATCTGTCACTGGATTTGGACGTCACTGGATTTGGACACCACTGTAACATGTCTGGGCATAGTCACGCATGCAATGTGTGAGTATAAACGTGCACTAAACAGCCACCAGACTGTACAGCCTGTGGGTGCATGTGCTATATTACCTATTTATCTATTTTTATCACAATCTGTTTATCGTGCAATATTTACTGTATTTATCGTTATATTTACCCACTTATCTCTTTATGTTACGCTTATTTTGTTTTATATAGAAATCGTGACATTGTGAATTGTCTATTTTTGCCTTCTTGTGTGGTTGCGCGCCGCGTGATCTATCACAAACAGTTTCCTCCAGGATAATAAATTTCCTTATTTTTTTTTGCAGTGTTTGCAGTGCTGATGGGTGTCTAATCTGGTGTCGTGTGTCATTTTGCAGGACTGCTGGGAATGGTGGCCCACATGATGTACACACAGGTCTTCCAGATCACCGTCAGCCTGGGTCCGGAGGACTGGAGGCCACACACCTGGGACTACGGCTGGTCTTTCTGGTCATTGCCGCCCCCCTTCTGCCCGCACGCACCCGCACGTCCTCCCTGCACATGAGGCCAGGCCGCAACCCCACGCCGGGGTCACACCGAATCCTTTTATCCGCCACGTACAACAAGTACAAGCAATTTATATTGGCGCAGATGGTGGCAGTCTGTCATCCATCCATCTTCTGTAAGCGCTTGTCCTATTCATGGTGGCCGGGGGTCCGGAGTCAGTCCTGGAAGCTATGGGTGCAAGGCAGGGAACAACCCTGGATGCCAACCCATCACAGGGCACACTCACACACCAGTCACTCACACACCAGTCACTCACACACGCACACATATGGACAATTTGGTAACTCCAGTTAATCTCAGCATATTTTTGGACTGTGGGGGGTGGAGTACTCAGAAGAAACCCCACAATGAAACGGGGAGAACATGCAAACTCCACACGCTGAGCCATGGCGGAGATTCGGAGGCCCCAGAGGTGCGAGGCGACAGTGCTAACCACTCCACCACCGCGCTGCCCCCTGGTGGCATGAGTATACAACTAAAACCAGGGGTCACTAATTAGAGGACTGATTGGCTGAAGAGTCCTCACACCTGGGTTTGAACAGCTGACCTAAAGGTTATCCCAAAAACCTGCGTACACACCCTTTGCGGATAAGATTGGCCACCACTGACTAAAACCGTCAAGACAAAAGTACACAAAACAATAAATTGAAAATAAAATAGAAACAAGTAGAAAAATATGTCTTTGGTAAATAAATATGTAACCGTATAAATAAGGATGAGGCAGTAAGGGTGAGATGTAGGGTCTGCTGCTTTTTGGGCCAGATGGTAAAGTAAGTCAAACTAATTCCAGTGGAGGATTTACTACCGGCTACTGGTTGTGACGCGGCGGCCTGCCTCAGCCGCCCGAGCTCGCTGGGTTTCCATAGATACCACGTGAATAGCAGCCTGCATCGCTGCTAATACATGTAACTCCTATCTATATATTATGTTCACATATTACATACTGAAGTCAGGCCTAATTGTCCAAGAGCTGTATTAAGGACATTATAGGCCATTTGGCTATTAAGGGTTATACCGTTAAGCTGCATTAAATTATGTGAACTATTCTGCCTGTGATCAGATTACATTTTTTTTTACTCTCTGAAGTTGATGGTACTGAACCTGCTCGAGAGACGGACACAGCACAGGAACGAACCTACCTGAAAGGACCACAGGGTAGTGTGTAAGAGCGTTATATTGTTCACGGCAAGTTGCTGCCCCGCAAAGGATCTTTAAGCTCCTAAGCCTACAGCAGAGCTTTTGGTTGGATGACATCTGTCACTCCACAGCGCCCCCCGCAGGCAGACGCCGTGGTCACCCAATGAGTCACTTTTAGCCACATGTCCCCATGCCACCCAATCCCTTTGCAGAACTGCATGGACCGACCTCGTATTTTAACAATGCAGTGTTTAAAGCACAGATGTCCTATCAGCTGGTCCTCACTAGACCTCATGAGGCATCAGTTACTTTGATGTGAGGCAGTGAGGCAGTGAGGCAGTGAGACAGACGCTACCACGGTTAGAGGCAGGTGCCATGAGGGTGATGTGTATCAGAGGCTGGCGTGACCCTGGGAATGATGCCCTCTTCTCCCACAGCCTGGCTTGGGGATCCTTCACCTGCTGCATGGCAGCCTCCGTCACGACGCTCAACTCCTACACGAAGACGGTCATCGAGTTCCGGCACAAGCGCAAGCTGTTCGAGCAGAGCCTTCACGAGGACCGGACTTTCCTGGAACAGGAGGCCTTCCATTACTTCCGGGACCGCCCAGTGCAGTCCGTGTCTGGATCTGTGGAAGTGTTCCCGGCCCAGGGGTCCAGCCGGGCCAAGGCGGGACCCAGGCCCGGCACCGCCACGGCCGACCTAGGGGACGGTCCGGACTCTCTGGGGGAGGAGCAGTGCTGAGGGTTCTGGTCCACATCCCCACCCGACCCGGACCGTCAGAGGCTGTGTGGGGGCAGGGGGGTTACTGGGATTCATTATCCCCCGTGTAGCTTTTCAGAGTGGGACTCGTCTGGCCCTGATGACGGATTCCTTTTCCTTGTTGTTCGTCTGATTGAGTAAGAGCATCTTAAGAGAGACCATCATCGTTCACAGCCTCTCTCCCGGCTCTGTGGCTGAGACCTTCTGTACGGCCTTGTCACGTTATATAGGTGAGTTCCCTCTGGTCCTGGGAACAGATATGACAACAGGATGCGTGATCACTTTATATTTCTGAAAAACTATCACTGCCACACAGCCGTATGAAGATATTTCTGTATGTCTCTGAGCTCCTGCAAATCGCAGCTAAAATCTGCCAGAACCTTAAATACAGACCCACTGTTATATTCATATATGATTAAAGGACTCAAAGTGGAAATAATAAACTCTGATTAAAAAGGAAATATTAAACTCTGATTAACGGGAGAATATTAAACTCTGCGTGCAACTTTTGGAGAATTCGGTTAAATAACTGACGGCATCCTGGGGCTGTTCTGTAACGCAATCAGCCGGGCCTTCTCCATACCAAGGAGAACCATTTTTTAAACAAAATTCAATAAGGCACGTTTGTTTGAAGAAACACTTGTGTTCAAAACAAACAACTCCAGTAGGCTTATGCTCATGTTCTGTACATTAAACCAAACATTTTTCCGGTTTGATCAGGCCACAGAAAAACAGTGTTCACCGGAGAATAATGGCAAAATTTATGTTTTCATATAACAAGGTGTCACATTTTGCTGTGTTGTTTTTCGATAGCTAGACATTATTGCTTGGTGTTGTCAGTTTAATACTTAGCTAATGAGATTCAGTTGTTCAGAGTTTTTTTTGTTTGTTTGTTTGCCGTTGTTGCACATAAAATATTCCGATGTAAATAATCCTGGGGTATTCTTTTGAGTTTGAATGTATGAGTTTATACATTTATCATCGTCTCCCAACTGTAATTTAACAGCTCCTGTTAGCCTCTAAATGCTGAGAGGTTACGGAAGCACAAAGGCACTCAGTCATCTCCCTCTGTGAGAGCACAATTTTTCGGACATTCATCACCCGCAAGAAAGTGGCCGTAACAGTGTTCAAAGACGTCACTCTCACTCCATGGTCATGTGACCTGGTTCTATTCCACCGATTCCGGCTGACGTTTAAATGGGGGGGGGGGGAGTCTTGTTTGTTTCCGCAGCTCTAATTTGCACACTCCCAAACACTTTTAAACTACATTCTGCAGAAGACTTGATCACAGCCGCTAGTGGAAGCTGCCGGAACGTCTCCCAGACGGTGGGGCGGCTCTGCGCAGATGTCATCCCCTCCTTACAATTAAGCTAATGTGTCACAACTCTGTCTGCCATTTCCTTCTGTCCTGCTCAGGCCCAGAGCTTCAGTAACCTGCGTTATTTTATATCATTACTGCAGCCCAGAAAAAAAGAAATGCATACATATATATACACATTGAAATGATACTCTGTATTATATATCTATGAATTCAGAGAATTGCATCCATGCCGCAGTTCTGCACGCCTGTTTTTCCTGCAGCCTCACTCTGTGCCTATTTATAAGGATCTTACTATCAGTCCTCGGTTGTCTGTTTGTTTGCGGGCCTTAGCACCAGCGGGCCGTCGATCGCTGTTTTGCTTTGCGCTAATCGCGTTAGCGGATCACGTTGGCGGCCTGCGACCGAGCGCCGCGTGTCCCGCACCCTGAACGCGCCGTAGCAGCCCAGGTGATGGAGCGGCGCTCCGTCTCCATCTCCCCAGCAAATATCTGAGTGTGCCGGACCTCCATCCTTGGTCCAGCTGCAATATGTATGTCTAAAGGCTGCCTTTGTGTTACTCAAACTGCCACAACATCTCCCACAAGCACAGCACTGGTTTCCCCAATAGATTCCTTGTTAACTATATTGTAAATTAAAAAATAGAAAATAAAGACTGTGATTAAATTAAAATGAGTTGTTTGGATTCATTATTCACCGTGATTTGGGCTTGCAATAAGTCCTCCGATGCTACAGTCCTTTTTTCCAAAAACGAAGCCGTATGATCCTGAGTCACGTGCGACGTTTGTGACTCTACAGGGCAAATTTCCTGACGGCACTAAAGCTGTCCATCACGGTGCCCACAGTTTGGATCGTGGAGACAAGCTGAGGCACTTCAATTAAAGACTAACCAGCGAAGGCTAATTCTGTCTCAGCGCTGCGCTGGAGACGCAGAGTCGATGAAGGTCATATATTTTGTGCTTCACACGGCCTGTGGAAGAGAAGAGAGGCAAAAAGTCATCAACAAGTTCTAGGGCTGCAGTTAAACAAGCAAAATAATCCATATACATATATGTCCAAAAACGTGCTGCAGAAGGTCCAAGGAATGGAATCATTAACCATGACAAAGCTTTGTGGGCCAGTCAAAAACATACATGTAAACCGTACCTGTATCAATTATTTAATCGTATCTGTGCAGCTCAGGACAGGGAGGTCGAGGCTTATTCAGCAAATGACTTAGCGTTAGAATCCATACCTGTCACCGGGACAATGTGAAGACGCAACATATTGCTCTGGCTTGCACAGGACGCCGGTCTGTGGCCAAATGCACAGCCCAGGTGGGTAATGGGAATGTCAGGCTGATTCATACCCCCTATTCTTACCTGTGACTCCATTACGGCGCCTCGCGCCGCCCTGGATGTCCCCGGAGTGGGTATTTATGCGCCAAAAAAAGCCGGAGATATCATTTGAGGCGCAGTCCGTATGAAGCGGCCCGCAGGAGGGCTCTCCCCGGTTTAAATTGCGTTTCACCGCATGTGGAATGATGTTTACGGTCCATTGTGTCACGCTGTTTACCGGCTGCCAGCACCCCTCGCTTCTCTCGCTTCTCTCTATAAATGTACCAGCCAGCCTGTCGTTTGAGGTGGGAGCGGCCTCCCAGATTGAAGGCCCACCAGTCACAGGTNTCACTGCAGCCTTCCACCGGAGCCCTTTGTTTTCTGTTACATCAAAACCTATGGATAACTAGGAACACCCCCCCCCCCCCCCCCCCCCCCCCCCCTCCCAAGACAAGGTAAGACCTGCCACCTTGACATCTGTGGTCCTTTTGGGCTTTTAGTTGTCATGGTGGTGGTGACACGGACACTGTGGATATGATATGGACCAGAGGTCCTTAATGTACAAGGCTATACCGACACACAGCAGCACACAAAACGCGACCTTTAGTCGGAATATGTCCTTTAATGGATATTTTTATCCTTTTTGGAAGTTTTAACAACTTTAATGACTATAAACTGCGCCTAGCGTCTACAGTATGTGACCCTGCATTTAGATAATGCGTCTGGTTTCTGTAAGACTGAGACCTGCTCTTTTAAGAGGCTGTATTACACTGTAAAGCGAACCACACCCAGGTCTCCGATCCCCCTCGACCATCCTCTACTACATTCTGACGTGTAGCTGAAACTGAAGTAATAATCCCTAAATTAAGACTTAGCGAGGAATAATGTGCTGTAGTGTGTACGTGTCGTAAAAATAACGCAAACAGGTTTGACAAGATTCATTTTCGCATATATAACAAAGCGAGATTTAAACACAAGGAACTTAACTGGAGACCACACTGTAAAGACACTTTCTGCCAGGTAACGACAAAGTAGAGATCCTACACATGGCTTTAATCCGAGTAAAAAAGCAGAAAGCAGACTTTTACTAATATTGTGTCAAATAATGCATTAAGTTGTCTTGAAAGACGGACGAAGGTCCTCTTCTTTCCATTTTAATAAAAACATTTTTTAAAGTCTTCTAAGCATCAGAGAGAAAAAAAAAGTTTAATTTAGCAAATATTACACCGAAAACCCTTAGTTCAAGGTTTGTTTACAAATGTGAATTTTATCATTTGAGTAGGCTTAATATTATTACATCCTTCCCTGAACACGCCATCTCTGTGGAGCTGGGAAATAATAATAAAGCCATTTTCAGCTCTGTAACATTTTTCCAGATTTTACTGAACATGCCGCATTGCAAGGCAATGGCTCTATCAGTCCCTGGGGGGCCGCTAGCGGGTATGAACACCCTGGCAGATTCAGGGAGCCCAGCATTGTATAGAGGCCCCAAAATGTGCCATTGTAGGCCCCCACCCCCCCCTCCGCTCAGCAAAATCTACTGAAGGGGCCCAGGGTGACATTACATCTGGGGGCCCCAGGATTTCCAGCTACGCCCCTGGATTCTCGCATGCATTTTTGCAAAAGGGAAAAGTAAAATCTAAGGAGTCTATTTCTGTGCAACATCCCTGTGGGTAGCGCCCAATTGGAGGAGGGAGCTGTCACTCTGCGTAGGCCGGTTACTGCCCTGGCCAATCAAGAACTCACCTTCTCGAGCTACCGTCTATAAAACAAGTTTGCTGGGTGACAGAGAGGGCCGGCGTCAGTCGGGATTCCTTTCTTTCTGTGTTCTGTAAGCTTACGGTTAACAATCAGGTCTAGTAACTGGGACTCGTATGCTTCACTACAGATGCTCCTCGTTTGCAGAAACTGAATGTTATAAACACTTGTTCAGAAGCATTTGCCACCATAGTATATTACCTATATCGATGTTTAGGTTGGTAGAATACTTTATTTTGATAGTTAGGGTTCCTTTGTAGTTAGTCAGCTTTTCTTTTTTTTTAGATTGTTGTGTTGTTTTTTTCATTTGCCAGGGCTCTAGTTCCACGGCCAGCTCCCTGTGGATTATACGTATTGTCCTTTTGTAAGATCATTTGTAAGCATATTATATTAAACATCCTTGGCCGTTTATCTCTGCTTTCATTCGTACTTCTGGGCAGTGACACTGCCTTTCATGGGACGAGGAAACAGTCTTTAAAAAAAGGCCCCTGCTGATAGGGTGAAGCTCAGATTTCCCCCCCCCCCCCCAAAAAAAAAATAATTGCACAGCCCTTCCGCCCTTGGCTGATGAACGTTTCCCCTTACAGATATTTCACGGCATAAAAGGGTTAAAATTGCAAGCTAAAGATGAAAGTGTCTCCTTGGCGGCTGATCGCGAGAGAGAGGATGGAGTAACAGGTGTAAAATGGGGGACACAATATTGATAGTGACGCATTGGTGTTTGCAGCCAAGAAGAGCCCGATCAGAAGAGAGTGTGTGAAATAAAACACTGCTCTGCTCTGGCTGAATTTCTAATTTGTATGAATTACGGCGGGAAGGACAGGCTTTAGAGACGGGAAATGAAAAGGACTCTTTTTACGGTTATTTATTATGTCATGTCAAATAAATTAGGAGGCATCTTTACATAATGACTTTTCTCTTTGCATGGTGTTGTTCAGTGTCTGCAGACTGGCAGGATGCAGCCAAATGCCACACAATCAGTACCGCAAATGCACTTTTCCCCCTTGTTGCAGTGTGATTGACGTCTCCATTGTGTTCTTCTCCTCAATCGCTATTCACCTCTTGTGCGCAAAGCTTCTGCGTTCCCCGCATTTGGAGAGCCAGCGTCGGTCATTACAGAGCGCTGACGTATTATACACGATCGGACGGACGGCGGACCCAAGAAATTCCTCTTGCACGCGTAGCACTTGAACGTAATTGTAAATAACTGGGCCATTATAGGCGTCCAGCTCAAGGCCTGCGTGAAATTCAGCCTTGGGATTGGATTTGGGCCACATCATTATTCTCACCTCTCTGCTCTCATTTTTTGTCCAGACCGTTGCTCAGCACAAATGGGTCTAAAAATAGCCTATGATGGAGCCCTTAGATCATTTTCACGATTACCTCATGTGCCCTTTTAAGTGCATTATGGGAGGGTCGTGTGCCTGGAACTGGAAGGTCATTGGTTCGAATCCAGTGCTCAGCAGAGTAATCACTTCTCCATTGGAGTCTTAAACAAGGGCCCGCAGCCTGTTGATAAATGTGACAGGGGATTCATAAAGGCTGACCCTGTACTCTGACCCTAAGATACGCTAGTACCTGTATTGGTGTGTGTCTGAAAACTAACACATTCCAACATACCTGTACAAACGCCAAATAAATCCTCATTTCATTGCCTGATAGACACCTTGGTGTTGAACCCCACCCAGCCGTTATAGATAGTGCTGTTCCCCATTAAAAATCTCATTCCAGGCAGCTGACCAAAGTTTGCAATTCTGGAAGCCCCCCCCCCCCCCCCGTGTCATTAAGCATTCTTATTCAGAAATATTCAGGTTCCAGTCCGAGAAGTAATAATGGTTTTTGATCACTTACAAAGATATTCATATCTGTTGCATAAACAGAAAGAATGGAATGCGAAACATATACACATATACACGTCAGTACGAATCGGACATTTCCTAAAGCAGAGGCGAAGGGTAGATCTCCGATCCTTAATCCTGTCTGCGAAAGGCATGCATTTATCACGCCGACATACGAAGGTACACAAAGCGAAACGCAGCTTCCCAAAAGTCCTTTTATAAAGTTTCTTACGGGAAAGCTTGGCTGCTTGATGGTTGGGGAACATCCGCCCCTCCCCCAAAAGCCCTGAAAATGTTTTAATAAGGGGCTGCTTGTTTAGTAGAAATTGATTACATCTGTTATACATAATTGTAATCAAAGTCTGTCAATTTTCATTAAAATTCGTAGCACCGAAGCCGCAGGAGGGGGAAGCCAGTCTGACACGATGCCTTGAGCAAAAGAGAAACGGAAAAGCATTTTGATTGTTTGTTAGATATTGGAAATATTTCAGTTCCCCGGACCGGTGCAGGGTTGCCGACTGTGGTCAGCTGGGTGGAGTGAGATTTTCGAGTCAAGTCTGCACACACATTCACATGCACGTAAGAGTTGTATTACCTTGGAAATAAATAGTCTGTAGGGTTTGCAACTGAGCCGACGCTGTTGGCGTAGCTAATATTAGGTTTATGATGGAATAATATAGATTTGCCGTAATGTTTCTCGCCTGAGCTAGAATCTGAAAGCGTGAGTGTCACGGCAGATGCATGACAATCCTGCAAGCGA